AAGAAAACAACACCAAATTGAAGAGGAAAAATAACCACCAACAAATAAAGTATTTCTACCACACATCCAAGGGATCACAGACTACATGGGGGAACTTCTGAAAAAACAACAACCTACAAACAGTATTCAGACTCACCACAAAAATACAACAAATGTTACGGTCAGCAAAGGACCACTGCAGGAGTATACCGGATACCTAGCAGTTGTGGCCAGGTATATATTGGAACAACAAAACACAGCATTCACACCAGAATCAAAGAACATGAGAGACACTGCAGACTAAAACAACCAGAAAAATCGGCAGTAGCTGAACATGCCCTAAAACAAGCTGGACATGAAATTCTATTTCAAAATACTGAAGTACTGGACAACACCAGCAAGCATTATGTTAGACTGCACAAGGAAGCCATTGAAATCCATAAACACCAGCAGAGCTTCAACAAAAAAGAGGAAAGTCTAAAACAGGGGTCTCAAACACATGGCCCGCGGGCCATTTGTGGTGTGCTAGATGATAGTTTGCCTGCCTCCCCCCCCCGAAGTGCCCATGCATCCTCTGGTCAAGAGTCAAAAAAAGGCCTCGCCTTGCTCACTAGCTTTCTCCCAAGACAGCGCCTCTTGCACCGTCCATCTGGAACTGCAGCCTGCCAGCCAGCCCACCTGTCTGCTGGGTGGCAGGCTGCAGTTCCGGATGGACGGTGCAAGAGGTGCTGTCTTGGGGAAGAGCCAGCAAGCAAGGCATGCTGCTGGCCCTTTTCCCCAAATGCCTGAGCCACTGCCAAGCAATCCCTGAGAGTGGAGCTCGCTCCTGACCCATCCTCGAAGAGCACCTCCAAGCCACCAACAGCAGCTGCCGCCGCCGCCTCTTCCAGGGAAGCAGCTCTCTGGCTCTCTTTCTCTCTCGGAAACCCCCAGCACCAGCCCAGCCAGCGGCCGCCTCAGCACCCGGCAGTGCTTCCTCCTCCTCCTCCTCTTCATCCCGCTTCAGCCGCCTCAGCTTGCCTAGCAAAGATTCAGCCGCCTGGACTCGCCTCATAAAGTTTGCTCCTTTGTCGTGATGGGGGTAGCTGCTGCTGCTGAGTGTGCCCTTTTTGAGGGGGTCCCTCAGAGGAAGGTTGCTAGACCTCCATGTTTGTGTGTGTGCCTGCGTGCGCGCACCTGTGAGGGCCCCCGCCCCATTCTCTTTAATTTTGCGGGTACCGGTGGGTGCTTTTCTCCTTTGGCAAGGTGAATTCTGTGAGGATTTTTTACTTAATTTTATGTCATGCCCTCCACCCCCCAGCTAGGCTCTTATCAGTGCTTCCTCCCTTCTCTGCTTCTTCGTCCTGTTGCTGGTGGTGGTGGTGGTAGTGAAGGAGCTGGAGGGAGTCCTGGCTGGCAATAAGGGCTCGCGCACCCCTCCTCCTCGGAGCCTCAGATGGGCTAAGGAAACTCCTGGGTGGCTTCCTTGGGCTCTTGCTCCACTTGGCGGAAAATCTGATGTGGTCCAGCCTTGCCCAGAATCTGTCTCTAGCATCCCCCAGGTAAATTGAGTTTGAGACCCCTGGTCTAAAACTTAACAAGGCCTGGCTCCCAGCACTGAAAAATACATCCTTCAAATGGTCAACGAACTCTATGCAGCCACAAAGACCAGGGATCATTGCACAAAAAAGACCAGCTAAAGACACCCATCAATCAGAGTGACAGATAATCTTTTCCACTTATCAGAACAATATATCCACAACAAAAACACGCTGATCACCATCATCACCATATCTCCTGAAAATGACAAAACTGTTCTCACAGCTATAAATACTCAACTATCCAACAAACAGCAACAGAGCATGGACAGAGTTCCTACTCCAGTTCTCTGAAGATGCCGGCCACAGAGACTGGCAAAACATCAGGAAGAATAGCCTTCAGAACATGGCCAAAGAGACAAAAAAACCAACAACAACCATCAAATCCCGGCTGTGAGAGCCTTTGAGAATACAAGCAGTGAGAGTGCCCTTTGGAGAGGGCTATTTTATTGGGGCACATTTCACACCTCTTGAAGAGGCCTGGAGCAGCCATAAACAATGCTACGACTTACAACAAGAGAACTAACAGTCCATTTTTATTCTTTTTTCCCAAACTCACAGTTGAGAAGAATTGTCAAGAGGTCTCAGTCAGAAGCCAGGGAGGTCCAAGAAGATAAGATAAGGAAATTGTTCAAAAGAAGCAACGGAAGTTCCTCCAAGCAGCAGCGCCAAGAAAGGAACTGAGGCACTCAGTGCTGGGGGCAGGGTTAAGGGCAGCATGTAGGAGGTCCTAGCACCATGTGCTTGAGCTCTAGAAGGTTCTAAGGCTGCTCTGTGCAGGTGCAGATTAACCCCATTTGTGAGCATTCATAGAGACCACAAAGAACACCATCTTCGCAGAAAGCAGCGATGACTTGAAACAACTATTAGGGAAAAGTGAAAGAAGTGCCAAAGCAAGACTGCAGCTGAATATTATGAAGACCAAAATCATGACTACAGAAGAACTACATAACTTTAGTGTTAACAATGAATAAATTGAAATAATTAGAGATTTTGTACCCCTTTGTTCAATCATCAATTGAAACAGACATTGCAGCCAAGAAATCTGAAGAAGACTGAGACTAGGAAGTGCAGCAATGATGGAATGAGAAAAGATCATCAAGAGTAAGGATGTGTCATTAAGCAGAAAGCTCAAAATAACGTTCATCCACACTCTTGTATTTCTGATCACCACCATGTATGTGTATGAAAGCTGAACAGCAAAGCAAGTTAACAGGGGGGAAATGGTTCATTTGAAATGTGGTGCTGGAGAAGAGCTTTGCAAATATTCTAGACTGCCAGAAAGATGAATACATGGGTCTTAGAACAAATCAAGCCTGAAATATCTCTGGGGGGGAAATGTTGACACCAGCTCTCTGGCTCTCTCTCTCTCTCTCGGAAACCCCAAATCAAGCCTGAAATATCTCTGGGGGGAAAATGTTGACATTGAGGCTTTCCTACTTTCAGCACACTATAAGAAGGCAGGATTCTGTGGAAAAGACAATAATGCTGAGAAATGTGGAAAGCAGGAGGAAAAGAGGAAGACAAAATATGAAATGAACCAACTCCTTAAAAGAACCACAAGCTTGAGTCTTCAAGAGCTATTAATACCAAGGACAGACTATTTTGGAGATCGCTCATTCATAGGATTGCCATAAATTGGAGGCAACATGGTGGCACATAGCCAATTGTTTTTCAAATTCACATATAATGTTTGCTTACCTTGCTTCGGCATTATTTGGATCTTCTTCTATCACAGTTGTAAAATCATTAATAGCTACATTCCAGGCAGATTTGTTAAAGTAATATATTCCATGCTTCATGAGTGCATCTATTCTTTTGGGATTATAGCAAAGACACTACATTGAAATAAAGAAAAGCAACATTTCCATAATTGCCGTATTTGCTCTTACAGGCTTAACAATCCTATAAAATGCAAGTAACATTATTTTATTTTAACATATTTCATAATTGAAAGGGCAAAAATACATTAGTTATAATCCTATTGGAATCTGTATAAAGTTTATCTAACCTGCTGCTGCTAGTTGATAAGGTACCAGGGTGTATCTTGGTTACTAGACATGCCTAGCACCTTCTCAATTAGCTGCAGCAAATTACACAAATCTTATATGAACACCAATAGGATTTTAGCCACTAAGTTTTTAATTATTTTAATTAGTTCATATGTGAAGTAGTAGCAGCTGTAATCTTTTACATACTTTCTTGAAAATATATCACCTTGAGCAAAATGAGACTTGGTTCTAAATAGACTTATACCAAATTGTATTGTAAATATAGTAGGATTACTAAATGATTTTGTTAATAGGTTAGCTAACTTATCTAATTAAATCAGCTACTTTAAGATCTGGCTTTTGGTTATGTGTCATATTTTAATGTGAATAACTTTGCTGAATTCCATGCTAGTAGACATGGAAAGCTCTGGCAAATGGCTACAGCCAAAATCTGAAGAATACACAACTAATTTTGTGTGCTTAAGGTTGTTTTTGGCTTGTGTTTCTCAAGCAATAGTCCCTCATTGCAAATGGCAAACAAATTTTGAATTTGGGTGGTGGGCTTCACAGAGTCTGTGACATGGCACTGTGTTTGCTGTTCAAATGGAGTCCAGCTTCTGGCATGACTAAGCCCTTAAACATATATTTGAATCCTGACAATAATGGAAGCCTACTCACCTAGAATTAGGATGCTACTTTCAGAAACCCTGTAGTGCTGTTAAGATGGGGTGCAGGGAGTTTCACTGAAAGCCAGTTTCTCAAAGTGTTAAAATGAATTAGACTAGCTGTGTCTGAGGAAACAGAGCAATCAGGTCTCTATGGTAGCCAACTTTATAATCTTCCATCTTTTCTCTTTTAGATATAGGGAATATTGAAAAGTGTCAAAATATATATAGATTATAAAACTGACTACATGCATTTATTAGAGCATCTTCAACAAGTGAAAATGTATGTGAGTTCAGTATTGAAAGGATACTTTAGAGAACAGAATGGAAAATAAGCAACATTCTCAGATAAAGTTAGTTATGTACAAAATGAAGTTAGACACAAATTAGCTAAGCTATTAACAAAATCATTTAATAATCTTACTTTATTTACAATACAATTTGGTATAAATCTACTTAGAACCAAGTTTCATTTTGATTCTAAGGGTAGTAAGGGATTCTCTTACTACCAGGCCTACAAAAGAAGAGGGCTAAAATTGTAGAGGAATCTGAAGACATAATTTAAGCACTAGGTCAAATGTGTCAGCTAAACTAGACATTTTGAAAGAGACGTGTAAACGGTGTATTAACTTCCTACCTCCCCAGTATAAGATACAGCTTCAGAGGCTTCAGATAGAATGAAGAAAGGGGTTCAAACAAAGCAAAGAAGCTACTTAACTGTTCCTTTTCTTCCCATTTGTTTATTCAAACTATTCTCCCTGATTGCTTTCTACATATGGAGAGAAAGTTAGTCCTGTATATTTTCCGCTCTTTGAGAAACATACTTTCAACAAGTCCCCCCCAGGATACAGAACAAGATCTCCTATTTCTTTCGATTCTGAAGAATATATAGATAGTAACACTTACTTTGGAATAATCTTCCATCGCCAATAGTAAATCACCTTCTTGTTCATAGGCTTCACCTCTCTTGTAATATATTTCATCATCAGTAGGTCTACATCTCACAGCAAGAGTGTAATTTATAATTGCTAAAGAATTATCCCCTTGCCTTTTATATATATCAGCTCTTGACAGATAAGCATCTATGTATCAAAAGTGAACAACAAAACA